AGTGGAGTGGAGGTTACTAGGAGGTTATGTTATGATGTGATGTGATGTGATGGGATGGGATGGGATGGGATGGGATGGGATGTGATGTGATGTGATGTGATGTTATGTTATGTTATGTTATGTTATGTTATGTTATGTTATGTTATGTTATGTTATGTTATTTTCCCAGAGCATTTCAGCTAGCTCAAGACCTCCAGCTATACAGTTACTACAGGGAAATATATTATGACTGTAGCCCTACTACATAGATTAATTCCCTTGGAATAGCACTAATACTCGACTTTCCCTAGACAAACAAGCAACTGTTTTCACACACCTTACAGAAACTTCATAGCTCTGAGAAACTCCACTGCTCAATTAAATTTAGATAAAATTGATCAAGTTAGCCTCGAAAATTAGAAGTGTGAAAGAGATGGGCACAGTTTGCCCCCGTAATCTTTGTTTTCACAGTCATGCCTTTGTTTCAAGAAATAAAAAAAAAAATCTTGCACAATGCCTAATCAGTAAGTTTTGACTTTCCATGACAAAAAGAAACAAAACCAGGACAAAGGACACCCCCCCCCCAAAAAAAAAACCCAACAACAAAAAAACCCAAACCCCCCAAAAACCCCAAACAAAGCATATTATTATACTGTAACACGTGAAAGCTCTGGGACATCCCTTTTTCCAGACTTTTTGGTACAATCTGGATATAGAAAGAGAGACAGCAGTCTTCTGAGAGCACTAAATGCTTGGTCACAGGATGGCCAGGAGTCAGAAAAACTGAAGGATAAAAATGAGAGGAAAGTTGGCTGAAATTGTTTTCTGCTCTTCAACAGGACATAAAAAGAACAATATGGAAAAAAAATCCTAACACTACCAAGATCCAGACAGAAGGAAACGCTTAAGCATGTGGTAGAAAAGAAGTCCCTTGTTGTTTATGACATACTCGTAAGTCTTATTGCAGTGCTTTCTGGCTAAATGCTGGCTGAACAGAGAACGATTTTGCACAGGAGGATGAGGAGGAACACCTCTACTTTGTTCCAGCTTCCTCTAGGGAAGAATTGGGAAGCAAGAAGCTCTTCTGGTCTTGCAACATGAATCTTGGCAGCTACCTTTTCCCCAGTCATACTGCTCAGTCCCCTCTAGCCCTATTGGACGTAGAAAACGCAATCACAAGCTTCAGTGGTAATAAAGATATGAGGACAAAGGTTCACCACAACAATATCCCATAGAGAAGTCTTAAGGTTCTTACTATTCAGGTAAGAAATTATAATTTTGCTAAATCCATGAAGAAATTTATTTCTCTTGCCTAGAAAGGTTGGACCAGATGATCCTTGAGGTCCTTGGTATTCTATGATTCTAAAACCCATTGCATTTACTATGATACTTGAATTAACTGGTGTGGATTTAATCGGTTGCACTGACAGGAATGAACCTGACTGCTGTAGATGCATTATTGCCATTTTCAGATGGGAATACCTCTCTCTGACAGCACTTGACTTTATCAGTGACTGGAAATGTGAGAAAAAACACAGAAAAGTGGAGGAAATAATTGGGAGCTGCTGTATCTATAATCAAGTTGTGTTGTGCCCTTTCAGCTCACTAGTCAGTTTGAGTTACGTATCTTTACTGTGAGTATGGATTAGTTCAGCAGTGAGTTGAAAGCAAAGATCTTGGGAGGAATTTGGAGAGAGTTACACTTGTTAAATCACAAGTTTCTCTGTAAAATGCTGATGTAAGTCAACAGGGAGATCAATACAGTAACATGGCTCCTGGGAATATACTCATGAGGTTACTTGGGGTTTTTTTACTATAAGAAAGGAAAAGAAAAAAAAGAGTAGTTTGCTAACATCAAAAGACAATAACAATGCTTTAAACTCCTCACTGAAAGGGAAAAAATTGCCAATGAATGTAATAAAGAGTTTCTGGAAGACAAAGGTAAATGTGGACAGCTGAATAAAGGAGGCAAAGAGTATATTTCTTTTGCACCACTTATGCAGTCAAATTTGTTAAGATGAGGAGAGAAAAGATGTCCTGCAATATGCTTTGCCTTTGACAGCATCAAACCCATTATCTATAAGTACATTCATATTTTTCCCTATTCTTTTATCTCTGCAATTACGCTTCTTATTTTGCATTGAACATGTGAAGAGACCGAAGGAGTCACACAGGAATTTCATCTGGGAGCTTTGCTTTTGGTCCTGTGGATGATTAGGAAGCCTGGATATTGATGGGTTCTTCCTTCTGGTGGCTGACAGCTATTCTCATACTGATTTTTCAATGGAGATCATGCCTGATTACAGGTAAAGATAGTTTGAATATATTTTAATGAAACAGCTTATTTCTGCCTACAGAAATGTAAAAGATAATGAGTACGCATCTTTCTTCTTTTTAACTTGGATGACATAAAACATAAAATTAAAACACCAAAGACGACCCTGGTGCAGTCTGATATGTGTTAAGGTACCTGAGACATCTGGGTAGGCTGGAAAATTCGATAGGACTGCAGGAGACTTATAACCATCTAGACTGGTGAATGGAGGCCAGCTGGGAAGCTCGAGGGTAACTCAGCACTAGACAGGTAGGCGTAGCCAACTGAATTGTGCCCAAGGTTTTGGATTTGGCTTGTAGATTTAGCTGCCCACGTTTAGCTTCCTAGGAGCATGTGTCTTCATGCAAGCTCAGCATCTAGGATAAGATTCAGTTGCTCATGGATTGGCATCTACTGGTATTTTAGATGCTGTAGGGTCTTCTTCTTGCTTCTTGATGTTCCAAAATAGAGGAGACCTACCACATATAGCCTGTGTCACAATGCCAATCCTGTGCCTAGAGTATCTCAGAGCATCAAAGATGAATGTTCAAGGACCTCTGTCCTACCCAATGAACAGACTCACTGCCTACAGTAGAATGAACTGAACAGACTATTGGCTCGCTCTCCATGGGCTAGAGTAGGAATGTAGTCAAGTCAATGATTGAACTGGAAGTGCCAGGTCAGTGGCAAGTCTCTCTCTCAGTTTAGTCAAAGATGGAAGTTTTGCTTTTAGTCCTCCTGATGATTAGGAAGCCTGGACATCTGTTTTTAGGTTCCCAGTTCTGGACCTTAATCCCACTCCCTGGGAGTTATTCAGGTGCCGAACCACAGACACCTATTGCCATTGTAAATGTTTCAGTGTATCTGAGATTTCCTGTTAAATGGAGCTGGCAGATGTGACACAAGCTCAGCATAGACTGGGGCCCCTGGGGCTTGATCAGATGCAATCCCCTGCAGCATATGAAGTGACGTTCTATTTAACATTAAATATTTCCTCGATGTTTCATAGTTGATTTTTAACTTGCTGTAGAATAAAGTCAAGTTGCTGTGATACAACTTCTTTGCAAATCCATGTTGGTTGCTATTTATTTTGTTATTTCCAAGGGCCTTTTTTCCTTTCTGGAATCCTTCTTGGAACTGAAATGAGAACGACTGCTATAAAATGTCGTGGTGTTCCCCTTTTCTCCCTTTCAAAGATATACATTGTGGGTGGAATTCATCTCATCTATATTTAGAAATATGAAAGCTGCACATCTAACTTCAGTATAGTAAGCCTAGAGTTCACCATTCAAAGAAAAGACCAAGAATAGAGAGCCATGAGCCCTTTAACAAAGGCTGATCTCTGAAGCCGCCTGTTTCTCCTCATTCATTGCAAAGGGAACCTAGGACGTCTAGCCCAGATGTAGATGACCAAATCATTGTACATGTGATTCAGGTGCCAACACATAAATGTCTAGTGTCTTTCTAGACACTGCTGTATTCTGGTCTGTTCTCCAGCTGCTCCTTCATATGGGAGCAGATCTGCTGCAGGTCGTATGCCACATCTGCCAGCACCACAGGGATGTCTTGCACACCCTACGACATTTCAAATGATACTAGATATCATTGTTTGGGCAATTGAATCCCACCTTTACATTTTCATTAGATAGATCCTACATCCTATATTTGACCTTTTGCAGACTTCTCAGTGCTCACTCATTTTCCATGATTTCATAGCATCATAGAATACCAGGTTGGAAGGGACCTCAAGGATCATCTGGTCCAACATTTTTAGGCAAGAGCACAATCTAGGCGAGACGGCCCAGCACCATGTCCAGCTGAGTCTTAAACGTGTTTGGTGTAGCAGAGTCAACCACTTCCCTGGGGAGATTATTCCAATGATGGACTGTTCTCGTGAAAAATTTACTTCTCATGTCCAATCGGAATCTCCCTGGGAGTAACTTGTACCTGTTACCCCTTGTCTTCACCATGGGACTCCTTGTAAAAAGGGAGTCTCCATCTTCTTTGTAGCTCCCCTTTAAGTACTGGTACATGGTGATGAGATCACCTCGAAGCCTCCTTTTCTCAAGGCTGAACAAGCCCAGCTGTCTCAGCCTATCCTCTTACGGCAGGCTTCCCAGACCCTGGATCATCTTGGTGGCCCTTCTCCAGCCTGTCCACATCTTTTTTGTATAACAGGGACCAGAACTGTACACAGGATTCCAGGTGTGGCCTGACAAGCACTGAGTAGAGTGGGATAATGACTCTATCTCTGCTGGTGATGCCCTTTTTGATGCAACCCAGCATCCTATTGGCCTTCTTGGTCGCCGCAGCAGCAGATTTCTCAATAGCCACTACTTAACAGCCACAAACTTGAATAAGTTAGTTTTCAAAATGCTGAAGGATAAACTCCAAGAGCCTCACATAATGTGAACATTACTCATCTAAGTAATCTGCCATGTTATTTTTCCATTTTCTTCTGGATTCCTCTCCTATTGACAGTGATATTGGTTCTATTGTTGCCTGATGTAATGCCACTAAAAATGTGAAATGGACAAACAGAAACAACTGCCATTTTATCTTTACACAGGTCAATTTATTATCTCTCCTCCTAATACTGCCATCATTGGAGTCATTGGAGAAGGAGTTGTTCTGCCCTGCCACGTGGTAGCAGATAACATTCCTGAGGTATTCTCTGTCCAGTGGATATTTCATGAACAGTCTCAAAAAATAACTGTCAGCAGATATGATGGAAAGAAGAAAAAGGAGGAACAAGATGAGAGATATCAAGGCAGAACAGAATTCTTCCACAATGAATTTAGAGCTGGCAACATGTCTCTACGCCTGAAGAATGTCAGGAGCTCTGACAAAGGATCATACACTTGTGTGGTCTCTTTCAATGACACGTACCATGATGTGTTGATTGAACTGCACGTGACAGGTCAGTGGCAATTCTCTCTCTTTTTATTCAAAGATGGAGCTGAACACAAACATGTATGTGCATCACTGACTGAGGGAATCATAATATAAATTTAATATAATTTGACAGCTAAATGTCTTCCTGGGGGGCTGTGTTTGATTTGAGTTAGTTTTCTCCAAATTAAGGGCTATAACCAATATTTGGGGTGAGTTTTAGTTCTAATTTGAGATACCTTTATTTAGGTACCTGAACACATGCATCTGTATGTGACTTGAGAGTACAATCTCCCTTCATACTCAATGAAAGCCCAGTAAGAAAGTTCAGGGAACCCTGCAATTATTCAGCTGATCAATGAAAAGTTAAGTTTAGATTTCTACTTTGCAATCAACCATTACTGAGCTGATTGTCCAGTTTCTCTATGGTCAGCATAATCAATTGGTCCCATCCCAATACCTCACTGCTTACCTTGCTGCTTGCCCACAGCAGGAGAACAAAGCAGTGGGTAGGCCTTCATCGCTCCTATTGCTATTTCAGTACGTTAATAGATACCATCTTCATGGGTGGCTTCAGTTGATGTGGTCGGCTTGGAAGTGGACATGTGTTCCTCTGTGCTTTGCCTGCTACACAGGAACCAGTTTCCACATCATAGAATACCAGGTTGGAAGGGACCTCAAGGATCATCTGGTCCAACATTTTTAGGCAAGAGCACAATCTAGGCGAGACGGCCCAGCACCATGTCCAGCTGAGTCTTAAACATGTTTGGTGTAGCAGAGTCAACCACTTCCCTGGGGAGATTATTCCAATGATGGACTGTTCTCGTGAAAAATTTACTTCTCATGTCCAATCGGAATCTCCCTGGGAGTAACTTGTACCTGTTACCCCTTGTCTTCACCATGGGACTCCTTGTAAAAAGGGAGTCTCCATCTTCTTTGTAGCTCCCCTTTAAGTACTGGTACATGGTGATGAGATCACCTCGAAGCCTCCTTTTCTCAAGGCTGAACAAGCCCAGCTGTCTCAGCCTATCCTCTTACGGCAGGCTTCCCAGACCCTGGATCATCTTGGTGGCCCTTCTCCAGCCTGTCCACATCTTTTTTGTATAACATGGACCAGAACTGTACACAGGATTCCAGGTGTGGCCTGACAAGCACTGAGTAGAGTGGGATAATGACTCTATCTCTGCTGGTGATGCCCTTTTTGATGCAACCCAGCATCCTATTGGCCTTCTTGGTCGCCGCAGCAGCAGATTTCTCAATAGCCACTACTTAACAGCCACAAACTTGAATAAGTTAGTTTTCAAAATGCTGAAGGATAAACTCCAAGAGCCTCACATAATGTGAACATTACTCATCTAAGTAATCTGCCATGTTATTTTTCCATTTTCTTCTGGATTCCTCTCCTATTGACAGTGATATTGGTTCTATTGTTGCCTGATGTAATGCCACTAAAAATGTGAAATGGACAAACAGAAACAACTGCCATTTTATCTTTACACAGGTCAATTTATTATCTCTCCTCCTAATACTGCCATCATTGGAGTCATTGGAGAAGGAGTTGTTCTGCCCTGCCACGTGGTAGCAGATAACATTCCTGAGGTATTCTCTGTCCAGTGGATATTTCATGAACAGTCTCAAAAAATAACTGTCAGCAGATATGATGGAAAGAAGAAAAAGGAGGAACAAGATGAGAGATATCAAGGCAGAACAGAATTCTTCCACAATGAATTTAGAGCTGGCAACATGTCTCTACGCCTGAAGAATGTCAGGAGCTCTGACAAAGGATCATACACTTGTGTGGTCTCTTTCAATGACACGTACCATGATGTGTTGATTGAACTGCACGTGACAGGTCAGTGGCAATTCTCTCTCTTTTTATTCAAAGATGGAGCTGAACACAAACATGTATGTGCATCACTGACTGAGGGAATCATAATATAAATTTAATATAATTTGACAGCTAAATGTCTTCCTGGGGGGCTGTGTTTGATTTGAGTTAGTTTTCTCCAAATTAAGGGCTATAACCAATATTTGGGGTAAGTTTTAGTTCTAATTTGAGATACCTTTATTTAGGTACCTGAACACATGCATCTGTATGTGACTTGAGAGTACAATCTCCCTTCATACTCAATGAAAGCCCAGTAAGAAAGTTCAGGGAACCCTGCAATTATTCAGCTGATCAATGAAAAGTTAAGTTTAGATTTCTACTTTGCAATCAACCATTACTGAGCTGATTGTCCAGTTTCTCTATGGTCAGCATAATCAATTGGTCCCATCCCAATACCTCACTGCTTACCTTGCTGCTTGCCCACAGCAGGAGAACAAAGCAGTGGGTAGGCCTTCATCGCTCCTATTGCTATTTCAGTACGTTAATAGATACCATCTTCATGGGTGGCTTCAGTTGATGTGGTCGGCTTGGAAGTGGACATGTGTTCCTCTGTGCTTTGCCTGCTACACAGGAACCAGTTTCCACTAGATAGGTATTGTGGCGTCTCCTTGCAGCCAGATTCTTCTGAATATGTCTTCTTAGCTTTAAAACTCCAGATGAAGCAAAGGTTTAACATCTAAGTAACACTGTAATTTAGTCTTCTGAGATCCCGAGTATAAACGATACCTATAGACTGGATCTGTACCATGTCAGAAGCAGTTTTACTTGAAATGATTAGCCTGAGACACTAATACATTCTGTTTTCATGGACAGATTGCACTGGTTGTTCATAGGCTTCCTGTAATCCATTAATCATCATAATTATATGATTTTTTTTTCTTTTTTACAAAATTCTGGGAAATTCCACTGGCAACGTTGTTCCTGAATAGCCATCCTCAGCTAGCTCTGTTTGCTGTAATCTCCATTAAATTGTTCCTTATTCTCAATCTGATAGACTGAATTGCTGACCATCAAGAAACTTCAGGGCCCCAGTCTCTGTCACAGTTTAAATTCAGAAAAGTCTTCCTGTTACTTCCATACAAGTAGATATAAGAAAAAGAAGTGCTGAATTCAAAATCAACCAGACAATTTCCTGTTCTTAGTGCTGGTTGCAATGGAGAATACGTATGCTTTTTCTTAGCTAAAGGTAGTGTGCCTTCCATTTTCCTGAGGAGTCACATGAAGCAGGGCATTGGCCTCACGTGCCATGCAGCTGGATGGTTTCCTAAACCTGAGGTGATTTGGCTGGATGGCCAAGGACAGGTCCGGAAGGAACTATCGACCACAAAGATGACAGTGATGCCTGCAGGCCTATACAGCGTTGTAACTTCCATGAACCTAAACCCGGGCTCTGACAGGGAAGTCTCCTGCAGGATAGTCAACAATCTGCTAAATACAACGAGCGAGTCTCGAATCCTGATCGCAGGTGGGTGAGCTCTGTAGTTATCTGCTTGTAAGATTAAAAAGACAGACTGTGTAAATGGCATGGGTCTCATTTTTATGTCATGAGCTGGCCTGAAGCTGTGTTCCCAGAATCAGTGTTGGAAAAAAGTTCATGAGAGCTGCAGTCTTCTGCCACCTTTATTTCTAGTTGACTGCACAGCCTTTGACAGTACCTAGTGAATCAGTTCCTCCTTTTAAAAGGGGGTTAGGTAGTATCAAGACTTTCTGTGTTCCCTTCTTCAAATTTAAGGCAGTCAACTTGTTGGAGCTGAATTAAAATGGATTAATTTCCCCAGTGATGGTCAAACACTCTAAAGGCTTTCATTATCCAGAAACAGGCTACCAGGCCATTTAATATGATGTGTGCTGGTGGGTTTCACAGAGCATAGCTGAAAACAATAGTTATGGTCACAAGAGTAAAAAGTGATAATTTCAACATCTTACAAATATTTTTAGTCTATGTTTTTATATATATATCTCTTTTTAATATGTGCATTACTGTGTAATCATGGTGTTGACAATATCATGCCTCCCCATACTCTGTAGAACTTTACACATTTCTGTTTGCTGGGTATGTAGACAAACATCAGGTAGCCTGAAGCAAGCCTCCTAGGGCCGGACCCCCAAAAGAACTTTAGCACCACAAAGCCAATGTCTGGGTCTGGAATGGGGACTGGAGTGCAGTGAAAAGCTCTTGAAGAAGTGTATGAGGGAAGTCCCTTTCAGGATGGCATCAAGAAATCCCAGAACATTGAGCATGAAGGTACCTGGAAAGAGAAAATAGGAAACAGCCAATGTGGGGAATGTCTTCAATTTTATTCTCCTTCTTGGCTTACGTACTATACTCATCAGGATGAATCAGATATTCATTGAATCAAATTAAACAAGAGCGAACGTGTGTCTCTTGTCTAGTGGTGATGGTTTCTTCCTACATTCCATCACCTGCTCAGTTTAGTATGAAATGCAACACATCCGTGGAAAAAGCTGGGAGTCAGTCCTGCCTTTCTCAGGACTCATGAACTGTGGAAACCTGTCTACCTATCTCAGGCATCTCTTTCATAATTCTGAATCTGATGCCCAGAGAAAGAGTCTCCCTGGGTTGGTCCTGTTGGGGAGGGCTAGATCTCTTCTCCAGCAACATTCAAGCAAAATTCAAGTAAAATACAAATTCACCATCTCCTCAGGTGTATCAACTGCATTCTAAGTTCTAATTGTCTTTATGTTTAATCATTAGTAGAATATAACTCCTTTTGGTCATTTTTACAGATATTTTCTTTCCCTCCATTTCAAAGTGGCTGATTATCTTCCTGGTAATGTTATGTCTTAGCATGGTCCTAATTTCCACTGTATTTTCTAAGCTGAGAAGTAAGTATTTCTTTGCATGTTATCTCAGTCAACATCTAGAAATAGCACAACAGTTCATATTGAAATCCACAACTGTAACAAAAGCTCACAAGCAAAATCAGCAGTGATTGTTTAATGGTTGAATTCAGGAAATGGAATGAAAAAGGGGTGGGAAAGTACCCGGTCTGAACAAGGAGGAATGCAAATTGCATGTCCTTACCTCAGACAGCTTGAAGTCTGACAAGAGGAGGTCCATGAGCTAAAGTACGTGTGTAGTTTCCTTTCTGTAATCATTGGGGAGATAACTCCAGAGTGTTGCTAATGACACGAGAGTTTAAATGACAAATCAGAGAACTGATTTCTGTCAGTATTACTCCACAAAAACATGCAAAAAAGGGTTTTTTGCTCTTTTTTTTTTGACCAGGTAGTCACAAGAAAACAGTTAGCTCAGGTAAGTAATGAGGAAGATGAATATGAAGATTATGACAAATTGTAAGTTGGAAGGTTTATTTATATTAAATTACAGAACTAATTAGCAGTTCTAGTTGCATCCAAATGTTTTGTAGTTTTTAATTCTATTTTTGCACCGCATAATCTAATAAGTTCCTGTATGAGTTTTTTTTCTTCATTTGTGCTTTATAAATAGAGCCTGTGTCCTTCTTTCATTAAACTCTAGTCATTGATATATGCTGACTGACATACTCTATCATGTCATACATATTCAAGAGTTAATTAATTGATCAGAAGCATTCCTCAGATTCTTTAGAAGAAGAAGAACTAAATGAATTAACCCAACAGTCAATCCCACGCAAGGCCATCTCAAGACTCTGAAAGCAACTTACTCTTTGAATACGTGTTTGGTACTCACCACCTACGGCTGTACTGGAAAACAAAATGGACCATAGAATGGCATAGAATCATAGAATGGTTTGGGTTGGAAGGGACCTTTAAAGATCATCTAGGCCAACCCCACTGCCATGGGGTGGGGGGGCACGGCATAGCTCTTGTGGATTGTGCTGAACAATCCTGCTCACCAGGACAGAGTATCCACAGTCAAACCATCTACTGGCAATGGCCCTCGGCTCATGTCTCCTAGACGATACCTGCTTATTGTTTGGGAGAGTACTAATTGACCGATGCCAACACCATAGCAGGGATTATTCTAACAAATGAATTGCATGAATGATTTTATTCCCTGAGGCACACTTGGTTCTGCTCCCGGGCCAGGTTTGGCAGTTGAGGATACACAAGTCCATGGGGCCAGAAGGGATTTATTCCTGGTCTCTGAACCTCACTTAGGTTATGGCTGGGACAAGACACGCCTAAGAAGGACTGGGTGTCTCAGAATGCTACCTCATTTTTTGTGAACTGCATTAGAAATGATACATGTCCTGGTATAAAAAATAAGAATTCTTTGGACTAACAAGAAGCCTTGGGAAGTTTATTAGGTTAAATTAAATTGAAGTTTTAACCCCATTATTTTCTGTTTGTAGATGAATTACACTGTTGTATGACAAAGGAAGTTTACAAAAATAATTAACATTATGATTCATTGTCTTTATTTTTCAGTAAAAGTGAAGATGGAAATGGAAGAAGGTAAAAGTCCTTTGCATTTGAAATGATACAAAGATGTTCAGAGATCTCAATGATGTAGATTCAGGGAAGCAATATTCGAATGTTGATTATCAATACAGTAACTGCAGGAGTGATTCCTTTTCAATATTAAGGAAACAGTGACAGCTACACATCATATCCCATGTGAGGTCTATTCTCTAGTGAAGACTGCAAATGTTTACAAAGAAGTAAGATGGGTCAGCAGCGGCCTTTTTGAAAACTCAACCCAAATATCTGCTGTTGGATGGAAAGCTCTTAGCAAGCTTCTAGGACTCCATCTCTTCCTGGTGACCACTCTTCTGCCTTTTTCCGGATTATTCAGAACTACCTTTAGTCAGCTGAGTGGCCCTGTAAATCCTGTGAACTTTGTTTATGGATCTCTACTGGGAGCTTGGATGCCTACGGCTCAATCCACTTGTGTACATACAGGTGCCTTGGATCATTTGTGATGTCCTTGGTCTACCCACTATCTCCCATCCTGGAAGGATGCAGATACCTCATTGATCTTTGCTTGTATCTGAGAGATACAATGTGAACTAACAGAGCTTCTATAGGAGACCAGAGATCTTTTAGAGAGACACCTACATGCCACTTGGGGTACCCCAGGACATCTCAAATGCACTAGGTGCCTACGCATCTGAATATCCCTCTTAGATGTGGTCAGTTAAGGCATGATCTAAACAGGCTTTGAAAGAAGACCGCTACCAGCAATACAAATAAGTCTTGTTCCCACACTGCTTAATGAGTTTGTAAATAATAACTTAATGAGTTATCTAAATATAATCAAGTTGAAATAATGTGATACCTTCATGAGTTAAATTGGTGAATTGGATTTACATGTACCTCACTCAAAGCAGTGGATCGTGTAATCCAAGGATGCACTTGCTGTACGGTTATGTGGTTCATACATTGGTATTGTTGAGTGCATTAAGCCACTCTGTCAAAGAGCTTACACTGATATCTGTGTACTGTCTTTTCTAGAAAAAAAACAACTGAAGTCAGTGTTAGGTAAGATGCATTTCTTGTTCATTGTGTTTAATTGTCTTTGTGCTAAAGTCACATCCACTTTGGGATTTTTCTGGGTGGATTGGTTTGTTTGTCTATTTGTTTGTTCTGGTCTGATTACTGGGTTTGATGGCACTGTTTAATGTCGTTAGGCATTTAAAATGAAAAGCAAGGCTCAGCTGAATCAAATCATTTTCATGTAAAAAACTCCAGGCATAGTCTGAGATATTTACTTTTCTCTCCCCCCCGCCCCTGCCCCGCCACCCAAAAGAAAAGCTTTAAGTATTGTAGAATTTTTGTGTGTGTGCTTAGGTATAAAAAAATCTAGTAGAAAGTGTGTTGGAAGGATGTGTTTCCCACAGAAATGACACAAGTTTAAGACTTTATAGAATGCAGTATGAAAGTCCACTAAGTAACTTTTAACTTCCAATTTATATCCAGTAAGTACTCTGTTAATATTATTTCTTTTATTCTATGTGCTGAACTTTTCAGAAGGAGACAAAACCAAGAATCGAGCAGGTAAATCTCATTTTCCTAAAATATTCATTGAGAATGGATGCTGTCTACCCTCAATGAAATTAGGCTGCTCTGTTTAATTAGCTTACTTTTATTTAAAATGACTTCTCAGAAATGTTATTAGAGGTGATTACATGGCAAAGAGACCAATGATGTTTACTTCTGTACCTACACATGCAGGATACATTGTGCCTTAGACCCTGATGAAGGTCCACCTACATCTCTCAGGGCTCTGCATTAGGTTTTTTCTCTCCCTTGTGGTGTCATAGAATCATTTAGATTGGAAAAGACCCTTAAGATCATCGAGTCCAACTGTTAACCTAACACTACCAAGTCCACCACTAAACCATGTCACTAAGTACCACGTTTCACCTGGACACAACTGCAAATTTCACAGAACCCAGGCTCTCAGCTTAGCTTTCTCATTCTCCCCTTCCCCTCTTCTCACATTACTAAGAGAAAACTGTAACTGCATTTATCCTGCAAATTTAATGACAGAAGTGTCCCATATAAGTGTACAC